GGAGCACTGGTGCTAGAGGAGCAGCACCCGGGCTCCCCAAAACTCGGGGACCTGGGAGGGCTGGAGGCTTGAGGATTCCCATCGCTTGAGGATGGGAATCTCCCACCCCCAGGGATCGCTGCCGCATCTTACCCGGCATCGTCCCCGGTGCTCGGCGGCGGGAGGTCAAACCGGGGCTGACTGGGAGGGGTTTGGAATGCTGTGAGCTGTGGCAGGTTCGGGAACGGGGCACTTCTCCCGGCTTTTCGTCGGGGAGAGCTGGAAGTAACGAGAACACTCGTGGAAGGCGAGGGTGTTGTTTTAACCTTTAAAGCCGGTGTCCGAACGCTGGCGGTGTTTGTGCTCCCATCAAGCTGAACGCCGGCACAAGTGACGGCATCGTCGCTTTATTTCCTTGTGCTGGATTTATATCTCCTGCCTCCATTTTCTGCCGGTGTCCTTAGAGGCTGCTGCTTGCCAAGCTGGTTCCTGCAAAGCCTAATGAGAGGGCAGATATTGGATTGCTTCGGGGTGCACAGCACGCCTGTCTGACCTGAGACGCTCTGGCGCGACCTTGGGCATCAAGGGAAGGGAGAGTGTGGGTCAGACACTGGAGATAAATGAAAGCTGCCACGGCAGGTTGGGATGAGCTGAGCATGTGGGAAAGCATGAAGTTCTGGTGGGGTGAGCAGGGAGAAGTGATCCTGGGGAGGCCACTCCTGGCATGTTCCCCCAGGGGTCTGAGAGTGGAATTGGCTTCTATCAGTCCTAGGAAAGGTTTTAAAAACAAGGAGCTGAAACTCAAAATACTGCCTCTTCCCCTGTACAAATTTAGGAGGTAGTTTGGTTGTCATCTTAAAGTACTTTTGCAAGGGCAAAGCTTCCTTGCAGCCTTGACGAGAGGAGAGGAAGTGCCGAGGTGGCGAGAAATACCTGTGTGGGTTTGAATTAAAACTTGAGGGCAGCGTTGTTGCCTGGCAAAGGGCAGCCAGTTCAGGGATGTGGGGACGTCTGGGAGGCTGTGTGCTCCGGGCATTGGTGGGCACTTTGATGTCTGCCTGGCAGAAGCATCCAGCTCATAGAAACTTGGGTGCTGGTGCTGCGAGAGGAGCCTGGACCTCAGTCCTGCGGAATGGTGTGTGGATCTGAACCTCTGGAGCCCTGCGGGTTGGCATGTGCTCTCCTGAATGACCCATGACGAGTGGCACCAGTGCCAGCAATTCTCTCAAAACCTGGCATGGCTTGGTGCATCAAGTGCAAAATCACCTGGTGCAGGTGCTGGTAGCTGCCTAGATGGCTGAGAGCGCCTTGGGGTTGCTGCACATCTTTGGCTCAGGAAGTCCGAACCTCCAGAGGAGCCACCACATCCTGGGCTGATGTGTGTCGTGTCAAATTAAACCTGATGATGGGTGTCCTCTTCTGCACCACCAGCCTGTCATGCAGGTGGCCTGGCTGGGGGTGTTGACAGCCTTGGGGCAGAACTTTTTGTTAATCAGGGCTCATTGGTGTAGCTCTGAGCGGGATGTACATGTATGGAAAGAAAGGGTTGTGCAGGCTGGGGCTGGCAAGGCAGGAGAGGTGCAGGCAGATTTCTGCAGAGGTGGGCTGGTGCGTCGTGAGAGAGGGTCATGACATAAATCTAGATCAGCTGAGTAATGTTCAGACAGGTTTTAATTCCACTGCCAATTTGAAGGGAAAGAAATGCCCTCCAGCCCCGACAGGGCTTTTGGGGCTGCAGAGCACAAAGGCTTTCTCCCAGTTATTCTGCAGTCCTGGCAGAGCTATTAATAGCCAGCAATTGGGCATTGACCACCTCCTCTTGTCTTGTGTGATTCTGGGAGAAGCTGGCAGGAAAAGAGGTGGCAAAGGACTCTGGCATTGGCTGTAAATCCCAAACCTTTCCTGATGTGTGCTCCTGGAAAAACTGCTTTTTGAAATCTGTCTGCCACCTCCTTTCCGAGGAGTCGTAACGCTCCGCTAGGCTGTGCTGCAGCCACTCTGCCTGGGCACCTTATTTCCTGTCTCCAGAAACCTGCTAGGGAAGCAGCTGGGTTGGTCCCCTGACGCTGGGTTGAAAAAGAATAATAATCATTTCCTTGAGAGACTGAGAGAGCACTGCCAAAACCTCACCTGGCAGGGTAAGGCCGTGGCTGTCTCAGCTGGAGAAGAGCAGTTGCAGCAGATGTAGCTGGAAGATATCGGCGGGCCCTGGTTCAGGGCGGTCGTGCAGGACAGGCTGGTTCTCATGATGCCATGGACCTCTGTGAGCGAAATGTCCATAGTCAATCAAACGTGAGGGTGGGTCTGTAGGAATGGAGAGCACACAGCAGTCAGGTCCTGGGAGACTGCAACCCAGAAAATCTCACCCTGAGAGGGATTTGGGGACCTTTAAATGTTGGTGAATAAAGATGAACGTCTAGTGACCACACAGCCAGAAGGTCGAGCGTGGGTTGTTTCTGTAGGGGAAGTATAGAATTAGCGTGTCATAGAAGAGCCTCTTCCCCTTGCTTCTGGGTATACATGTCCTGGAGGATTAGTGCTTGCCCATTGCCTGCCACCTGCATCCTGCAAGCCATTGGAGCAGGACAGACTGTGTTCTCCCAGCTGAGGTGGTTTTCTCCTTGGCAGTATGGATGGCATGGGTGCCTGCAGGTAGCTCAAGGAGATTGCCCCTGCTGTCCACCTGGCACCTGAGGGCATGGAGCTACTGGTTGGGTCTTGCCTGACTGTTTAGTAGGCAAAGTTCAGCAGCTTCTGGTCTAGTAGCTGGTTTCCGTATGCTAATTGCCTCCATATGGAAGGTTTAACTCGGGGCGGTTTATTAGCAAAGCCAGTCCTTTACAAGCGCCAACTCGGAGCCCAGCCCTGCTGCTCTTGCCTGGAGTGGTGCTGGCACACCCAGCTGCAGGTGTGCCCCTGTTTGGGTGTCTCGATTCCCAGACCTTTGGGTGAGAAATTATCTGATGGGCAGTGCAGGGCTATGCAGCAGGCGTGCGGGCAGAGGTGAGTCCCCACGATCCTGCCAGCTGCAGACTGCAACCATCACCCCCTCCAGGTCCAGGCTGCCCTCTGCCACCTGCCCCTGAGGATGTGGCACTGGGATGTGGCAGGACTGTGTGTGGCAATGGGTATGTGGAGGTGGAAGAGCAAGGCTTGTGTCCCTGGAGCAGTGTATGGCTTCTCTGGGCATGTACCTCCACTCCCAGACCTTCCTTAGCTGGATGTTCTGTACCAGACATGGAGGTGGTGGTGGTGGTGGTCCTTATGTGCATTCCCACTTCTCCATGGATGTCTGGAAAAGCCTCCAGTCCTGCATGAGCTGGGAGCCCTGCACTTGGGTATCAGAGTGCTCTGTTTTGACACTGGGTCTATGCAGTCAGCCCTGAGCAGCACGAGCTCTGCCTGCTCATGCCTGCTGACCGATGTGCGCTCCAGATGGATGGCAGGGGCTGTCAGCCCTTGCGCCCTGGGACACACATTCCTGTTGTACATCTCTACAAAGAGGGAAAGCTCAACCTGTGCTAGTCACATCCCGCCCAGTGACACTGAAGGGATGGTGGTGCCTGCTTTCTTCTTTCATACCTCTCTTTCCCTTGCAGATACTTCAGGTGGTGGGTCAAGAAGACTCGCATAGAGAAGAAATCTGCCTTCATTGACCTCTTGTGTGCTGTCCCTCTGCAGCAGATCTACGGTCAGCTTCCAGTCTGGGCACAGCTTGGGGGGGTGCAATACCCAGTGTGCTGGGTGGGCAGAGATTCACATGGGTGCTTGAGGGAATGAGTTAGGTAATGAGCCTGTGTGGTGTGGGCAGTGCTGAGTGGCCCCCCCTGTGGAACTGCTTGGGGAGGGTCCTTGAGCCAGATCCCACCATGGAGAGGAATGGGGGTGCTAATTTCTGATGTCTTTGCCAGGGTGTCCGCTGGGCGGGATCGGGGGAGGCACCATCACCCGTGGCTGGCGGGGCGAGTTCTGCCGCTGGCAGCTGAATCCTGGCATTTATAACTATGAAACAGTCATCGCCAACCAGGTAGGCGCAGCAGAGTATGCAGGGGGAGTCAGTGGCACTGCAGCAGCCTGGGCCATTGGGACATCTGTCATTGGGCTCGTTTCATTCCCTACATGTGTTCCTCTCCTCCTCAGTTCACCGTGTGCCTGCGTTGCAAGGGGCAGACGATTTACCAGCAGGTCTTGTCTGTGGAGAGACCCAGCACTCTGCAGAGCTGGAACTGGGGCTACTGTGGCCACTATGCCTTTTACCATGCCCTGTACCCCCGGGCCTGGATGGTCTATGAGCTCCCGGGGCAGAAGGTGGTGCTCACTTGCCGACAGGTCTCTCCCGTCATCCCCCATGACTATAAGGTAAGGAGGTGATGACATCCCAAAGGGAAGAGCTGTTTATTAGCTGGGCTTTTCCAACATTTCCCCATGTCTCTGCTCAGCAATGGTCCCATGCAGGGGGAACCCCTGCAGCAATGCAGGAGCTCGGGATGGCAGCAAGGGATGGCTCAGCGCTCCCTCACACTGCTCGTGCTGGCTCCCAGCCCCAGATGAGGGTGGCAGGCTGTGCTGCTGACACATCTGACCTTCCTCTTACCCCAGGGAAGCACGTGAGCCTGTATCAACCTGCCAGGCAGCTGAGGGATGAGACACTCAGCTGAGCCTTAAATGCCTCTTTCCATCTCCCTCTTGCTGGGTGTGGTGTTTGCTAGCCCAGGGCTCCTCTTCTGAATTTTGTATTACCTTCCCCATAAATTCCTCTGCTCCTGCTGGTCCTCCTCAGCTTGGCAACAGACTTCAAGACTGAGTTGTTCCTGGTGCTCTTGATCCCCCTGTGTCCTGCGTGGTTTCCCCTGCAGTGAGAGAAATCATCCTCCGGCAGCCAATGGTGGAGCACCAGCCATGTACACGGCATTCTCTGTCTCTGCCAGGACTCCAGCCTGCCAGTGGGAGTGTTCATTTGGGAGGTGGAGAACGGGAGGGATGAGGACGTGGAGGTGTCCATCATGTTCAGCCTGCAGAACGGCATGGGAACGAAGGAGGACAGGAGCGGAGGGCACTGGAACGAGCCCTTTGCCTTGGAGAAGGATGGTGAGCGAGTTGCTGGAGTCCTGCTGCACCACTGCACGAGTGTGAACCCCTTCACTCTCGCCATCTCTGCCCGGGAGAAGGTAAAGGACTGACCCTGGTGCTGTGGCTCCTACTGGGGGGTGGGGCTGCTTCCAGGCAGCTGATAGTTGATGGGTGTGTCAGTGGGTTGGGGTCAGCAGCAGTACTCAGTGCTGCCTGACTTCAGGGGTGGGGACATGACCTCCCTGTGGGCAGGAGAGAAGCTGTGGGTGAAGGTTGCAGGGCAGTGGGTGAGTAAATTTGGAGTTGCACTTGGAGCACAAGAAGCAGGGAGTGAGTGTGATGTACCAGTGTTGTTGTTGGGGGTGGAGAGCCTGCGTCTGCCCCTCCAAAGTACCAGCCCCTGAGGATTCTCTTCCCTTCTCCAGGCTGGCACGGCAGTCACCCACCTGACGGCATTCAATCCCACGGGATTGGGTAGAGAGGTGTGGCAGGACCTCCTGCAGGATGGCAGGCTGGATTCACCCACCGGTGAGTCCCTCCACCCTCCATGGGACACGAGAAGGGGGAGCAGGGGCAATGGGTGACCCCTGGTTGTGGGGCACAGGGTACCTGAGCCAAGGCAGAATTCCCTTCCTCCAGCCGCCTTGGTGCCATTGCTAAAAGCTCTGTGGGATGCTGTGGCTGCTTCCCAACTTTAGGCTGTATCCAACCTTTCCGTTGCTTGTCCTTGTGTGCTTCTCTAAAAGAGTGGTGTTCACACCACTGTGGGGCTGTTCCTGGCATTATTAGTTCCAGGTGCCAGTATCTCCTTAGTCTGTGTGGGGTTGCCCACTGAGCTGGGGTTTGTGCTGGGTAGCCAGGGTGCTGCCCAGCCACCTTCCCTCAGTCCCTGTTGCCAGATGAGTGAGCTGTGTCCCATCAGATTGGTTCCAGCAGATGTTTAGCAGCCCTTGGCATTTGGTGCTGCCATCACTTGCTGTCTGCTTGTTACTGTACCAGTTCCCCAAAGGTCTCCGGTATTCCCTCGATAACTCTGCATCATCCTTCAGCTGTCTGCTCCCTCCCTTGGGAGGAGCCTGGAAGCAGGGTGCTTCAGGCAAGGTCCCAGCCCTTGCTGCTCACCTCCTCTTGCCATGAAAAGTGACCATTTGCCTAATGTCTCTGTCAGCTTTTAAGCAAGGATGATGCTGACAAACTAGTGATGCTGACATTGGGTCTTTGCAATATTTCTTGAACCTTACATTATGTAAATGTTTGTGTGAATATTTCTGGAGAAATAAGCTTCCTGCCTGGATGCATTCAGAGCTCTTCAGGCTATTGGGATGTGGTTTTCCTTCATGAATGCCAGATATTATCATAGTCAGGATCTGTGCTTATGTTACAATGGTTGCTCTAATGAGTTTACCTTGTACACATGTCACAACCAGCATATAATTATGCAGCTGCCTCAGGGCTTTTCTTAAATACCAGCATGGCTCAAACACCCTACAAAAATCTGGAAACAATGACTGTCACTAGAAAGTCAGTGTCTCTGAGCAGCACAGAGTCATGGGACTTCTGTGCCTTCCACTCATGCCTGGTGGCTTTTCCTGCCTGATTTGTTCCTCTGCTTTGACTGAGGACTCCGCCCATGGAATGGATCTTTTCCTGCAGCAACAGTCATCCTTAAAACCCTGGGGCTGTAACTTGCAGGTTGCAGCAGGGCTGTGCTATGCCCAAAGGGTCTCAATCCCCTCTGGGGTGTGTGTGATCTTCCTTTACCCCTTCACAGGACTTCCTTGGTCTCTTACGAATACGATCATTTTTCCCGTCAGGTCAAAGCAGCCTGACGGAGAAGGGGGAGGTGACGGCAGCAGCGGTGTGTGCCAGCTGCAGAGTGCCTGCCCGGGGACACAGGACACTGGAATTGGCCCTGGCTTGGGATATGCCATGTGTTCACTTTGGCTCCAAGGAGAAGCTGCACTTCAGGTGGGTGGGTTGTCTCCAGTGGGGTTTGGCTCATGTCCCTGGAGTCCCCTGATCGCTGCCTCTGGGCTTGTGTTCCATGTGGGGAGACTTGTGCCACCCATTCCCTGCATCTGTGGCCCTGCCAGCTCAAAAAGGGGACCCTCTGCCCAACCCCTGCTCCTCAATGACCCTGCACTAGCAGCTGAGTTACTCTGGTGTTCCCTATATTCAAACCCCTCTCTCGTTTCCGGGTGGCTTTCCCAGCTGGAGCCCACGGTGTGCTCACCAAACCCCCTCTTGGCAGGCGGTACACCCGGTTTTTTGGCAGTGGAGGTGATGCTGCTCCTGCCCTGTCACATCACGCCCTGACACACTATGAGGAGTGGGAGAGGAAGATTGAAGCGTGGCAGAATCCCATCCTGGAGAACAGGTAGGGTGGATG